TCTCAGGCTGATTTTGTTGGTCAGTCATTTGTAGATCACCCGTGGGGTCAGCGCAGGGTGGTGCACAAGTATGCGGTTCATCCATATGATCCTGGTCAGCCATTTGCAAATCCCTCGTGGGGTCTACGCCATGCGGGATTAAATGCAGTCCAAGCAGATCATGTTCCAGTCCCTCAGCGTTCGGGGCCACACAGGGTGGGGCACAAGTAAGCGGTTCATCCATATGATCTTGGTCAGCCATTTGCAAATCTCCCGTGTGGTCTATGCCTTGCGGGGTTAAATGCAGTCCGAGTTGATCATGTCCCGGGCCCTCAGCGTTCGGGGCCACATCGTGAGTAGGGACTGTCGTTGGGAGTGTACTCTGGGCAGGGACCATATCCTGTTGCACAGCTGGGGGACAAACGAACATGGAAGGGCATAAAACATGGTGTTGTGGCTGTGTGCAAGCAGCTGGACTGTCTGCAGGAGGCATAGGAGCGGATGTATCCGTTTGGGACAACGGAACCGCAACAACCCGTGAAGGAGGCACAAAGAGAATTGGGGTAGACAAAGAAGCAGGCCGCTGATCCCTGGCCAAGTGGCGATGTTGTGCATGTCGTCGACGATTATACACAATAAGAGGAGTGGCGATGTTTCTAACAGAAGATGTCACTGGCAATGAAGGCGGAACAATGGGAAGAATAGAAACCGGAGAATCGGTTGTCAAACGAGACCGTGGAGGAGATGGGGGTGGCGAGGAGGAACGCAACCGTCTGCGGCCAAGCACAGAAAGGGATGAAAGGGGGGTGGATTCGGCAAGATGTCGGAACATAGGACGCGAGTGTCATATCGTCAAATAGAACTGCCCGGTAAACCGTAGGCAGAGAGGGAGAAGAGGACAACAAACGAGGGGCTGTGACAAACTGTTTCGTCGGAGTTTTACCGACTCATCTATATATATATATATCGTCAAATATATATATATATATATATATATATATCGTCACAAACAGAATATATATATATATATATCGTCATATATAGATTGTCACACTGTAAATCAGAGCGCGAAGGCGAAAAAAAGCAAAACAAGGAAAGGAAAAAAAAGGAAGGAAGGAAAGCCCCACGTGTTCATCACCTCTTACGTACAAGGCCAGCCACCTGGATGACAGGTTGAACGCTGGCTGCCCCCATCCCCGTGCGTCACAAGGACCACTTGCACGCAACCAAAAGGCAAAGAGGTAAAGAAAAGGAGGAGGAAACCTCCTGACAGGGAAACAAAGCAAATGACACATCCCACAGATAATCCAATTGTCACAAAGCAAATAACACATCCCACAGATCAACACTTTTTTTTTTTTTCCTTATTTTCTTTTTTTCTTTTTTTTCCTAGGCTACCAGCCGGGCCGCCCGGGTCCCGGGTGGCCAGCCCGTGCAAGGACCAAGGAAGGTCCCAGCAA